CCTGACGAATCAAGGTGTGTAGGTTTGCAATTGATTCGATCCTGAACTTTGGCGGTTTCCTCAAAAATAGCTTGTTAAACACTTTCAAGTCTATTATCATGCGCATTTCGTCCGAATCTTTCTTGGGGACTAGGAATACCAGTGAATAAAACCCGCATGTCTGATCCCCTGGAGGAAGTTATATGATTGCCCGTTTCTCCAGTAACTGATTTATTGCTCAGTTTGCTCCCCCTAAACGTTGGCCTTGAAGAACAAACCGACGACCCTCTGGAAAGCAAGTCACTCGAGGCTGCTTTTGCCAAGGAAGAATAAACCCCCTGCTCACGACAGACAGGACCACTTGTCTGATGTTATTAGTTTCCAATTGTCTAAGAATTGGGCCAACCTGCCCCCTACTGGAGATTGTGTCACCGGACATACAAAGTCCAATTCCAATATCATGTCGAGGAACGTTTCCGATTCGTAAAGAAGAGAACACTGAACAGTGAGACTTTAGAGTAAATATTTCTTGGAAGTTGATCTTGATCCATGAAAATATCTACCTCCCCTACCTCTACCCCTAGATGAGGATGAGCCTCTAGTAAAAGGCACATTTGTTGAATGCGCTCTTGAATCCGAGGCACGTTCAAATGCAGACCTCTGAAAATTCTGACTACGACTTGTTGAAGATGGAGCAGAACGAGACGTAAAACTGGAACCTCTTCTAGATCTAGTGTCAGCCCTTCTATTTTGGAATAAAAGAGCCGACACCAGACATCAGACGTTGATTCAAGTTCCTCGACGTCAAAGCATCTCTAGCCTCAATAGCCTGTTGACATTGTCCATTAAAGGTGTTATCCGATTCCAAGGGCTGATGAAACAGAAAATCCCTTGAAACATCCAGTAAATTCCTCACTGAATTTAGCCGCTGTATCCGCTCAATACCTGTAAGTCGGCCTAATATATTTCCCAATATATTCACTTGAGTATTCCAGCCATATCATCGATCGGGACTAAGGAACCCGTGGTACACTACATCCAGAAATGAATCGCTAATCGCCTGATTCACCTCTTGAGCAGTCATGGAAATCAAAGTGTCTTTCTTAACCAGCGTATAATCTTGAAACACCGGTGGGAGCAAGGCACGAACTCCCGCAGAAAACCAGTTTGAATAAGATAGGCTATCAATCGCCGAACAGGCTGCCGTATCCAATTCCCTACAATCCATGAAAGTACAGGACGGTGCATAGTCACGAGAGCCTCTAGCATCCTGTAACTGTTTAAAGTGCTTGTCTAAACTTGGTTGATTGGCTGGGATAACACGATCATGAATGGAATAAATGGGTTTATGAGAAACCCTAGGCAAAGAACTCAAGTTAGTAGCCTTAGAGAGGCCTAAGTTGTAATTCTCCAACACTTTCTTAAGTGATGATGAATGTGGTAATGACAGCCTGGGCATCCGTTCGTGGGGAAGACAACCTGATAATCCGAGTTCCACGGGAATATCTATCTCCTGCTCATCCGACGGCGGTGGTAGAGTATTAGGATAAAGTCCGTGCAAAAGTTCCAGCTTTTCCTTAAATGACCAGCCCGGCATAAAATCCTGTGCTGACATGTCCATAGATTGTACCGTCAACAACCCCTCTTTCATGGAAAACTCAGGTTGTGAAAAAGGATAAACCGATGAATCCTCCTGATCAGTCACATCAGACATCTGTGTCAAAATAACCTTGCGGGTCCGTAGCCGTGTCCTCTGAACCGCTAGGCCCGTGCAAATCAGACTGCTGGGTTGATACACCCTTTTTCCATAGCAGCCGACCCAGTGGCCTGGCTTGAGCCGGGGTGGGAATCATGTGCCATCTGGACCGAGTCAGACCCGTGGAACGCTTGCAGCCCAGTCTCCTCTTGGGAGAAGGTAGCAGGCTGTATGCGACAGGGAGCAGCCATGGATGACTGGCTCCCGGGGACAAAGGACGCGGAGTGTGTAGCCTGAGCCACGGTCAGCCCGGATCCGGAGCCGGCTGGGCCGACTCCATCACCGTCGCTTGAAGCCCTAGGCTTATCCCCCTGAGGGGACCGGCCTCCTATGTACGCCAGGGCATGTTAACCGGCTTTCCCAGTCATAGCACCCCTGGTTTCCGTTGGAAGTGACTTTGGCCCCGGCTCTTGCCATCCACCACCAAGCCACTGCGGCTATCTGCCTTCTTGCCGGATAAAACAGGTTCCTCCAAATGTTTTGACAGGCGATTAAATTTTTCGTCATTCCTCATCTCCATATCCCGTACAGATTTATCCATGGCCGCCTGGATATCGGACTTAAATCCCGCCAAAAGTTCTGAGAACGCAGATATATCCAACTGGGGAGAGGATTTTGATTTAGATCTAGAACGAGACTTTGGTTCAGATTTAATAGATAAAGGCGGAGATCCCTGAACTTTCTTCGACTTAGAACATTCTGATGACGATGAATGTTTACGCTTCCTAACTAAGGAACGAGATTTGTCCATCAACAACCAATCTTCTTCAGACATTTCCTGACACAATAAGCATCGATCCGAAATTGAGCAAGGTAAGTCTTTATAAAGGAATCACACAGAGAGTTGGGATCAACATCCGCCATGAATTTCTGACATTGCACACATTTGTTCTGCGCCATACTTGTCAATCAAAAAGGGCGGGAACACTTCAGACCATAAATACGTTGGAAATATATCTAATATAAATGCAAAACAGCAATGCGATTGAATATTAAATGGAATGCGATTTGTAACTAACCTACATATGAAGAATTGAAGTCTTGATTTGAAATGAAATTTCACTCGATTCTCTGTACATCATGCATGTGGACCATACAGAAAAATTATGAAAGGTTCTAGGAGAACAATACAGTGACATCAGGATCAAGGGAGATAACTCAGGGTTAGACTAGGTATACCACTAGGAATAGCTATGACTTAGTGTTACAATTTTGATTTTCTGTATGTATTCTGTGTATCCACAGGAATAAGGCTACCATAATCCAAAGGGAATGTTTACGTTATAATTATCACGTTCGGGGACACCAGAAATGGGCTTCACACATTGTACCCATGTGGGGAATCGAACCCGGTGTAGCAGGCCATTTCTTCCCTGGTCTAAACTTTCCCTGGGGAGAATCTGACCTAGGCCAAACTTTCCCCGGGGGGAGTTTTGTCCTAGGATATTCTTACCCCGGGGAAAGTTTGGGCTAGGCTAAAGTCTCCCCCCCTCCCCAATTTAAACTCGGATATTTTGTTCTGTTTTCTATCAAAAGGGGGGAGATTCTGGCCTAGTTAGGCCCCTTCTTCCCCACCATTGCTCTTATAAACTGTCAGTAGTTTTGACTTATATTTTGGTACACATTTTTGACAAATACCGGGGTAGTCAATTTTTGCCTCTGACTTGGGTGTTGTGATTTGAATGCATAAATGTTTGAACGGCAAATATCTCTAAATCCATCCTGCTCCTGACGCATTTCCTATGAAGACACACTGCATTAGTTCATCTGTCCAAATCATGTCACCATAAGATGTAAACATTCAAGCATACATTTGATGGGTAAATAAGATGTAATATACACAGGTTGCTTGCTCTCTTATCATGCTGTTTATTATCTAATATTTGTTGTATTTATGTATTAATGTAATGGAACATTATTCACATAAGCTTGTTTGCTAATCCATAATCACTTTGGGTATATGAAATATGATTCAGATATCCATGGGCCAAGTATACCCCTTATCAAACCTTGTCTTTTGAATATAGATAAGGCAATATAGTGGAATGATAGATGATACAGCATTTGATACAGATACTGTGTTGGGTTGTTGTTGTTGTGTTGATGTTTACGTCTACTTCCAACTGTTAAGCTGATGTCGCCGACGCTGCCATATTTAAAGCCATGAGTGAGGGAATGAAATTTGAATGGATATGGACATCCAAGTAAAAACTGGGTATTTAGTGAAAGTTTTGAATATAGTAATGATTTTGAGATAAGCTAATTTGGAGTATGTGGGGATAAGTAAATTATTGAAATATAAAAATAAGTAAATGATTATATAAAATAATAGTAATGATATAATATCTTTGCTTTTATGCTTGCTTGTCATTTGAATCTTACCCTATATAAGGATATTGAAACAAAATGTGAACCATGTACATGTTTTATGTGAAGATGAAGATGACCTGTAAATTGTTAATGGAACTTGACATCAACATGAATATCTTATCAATGTGTTCAGGTGAATAGCTATGTCTTGTTTTCGTATCTGACCTTTTCATGATGAACATAAACATGAAACAAGGTTGGGGAAGAAATAGCCAGAATCTCCCCGTTTTGATATGAGAACAAGGGTTTGAAACAAGTAGCCTTTAAAGTTGATTCAAGGAAGATTAAGCCTAAGGGGAGAAAGTTTGGCCTAGGCTAAAGTTTCCCCGGGGAAAGTTTGTCCTTGGCCAAAGTTTCCCCGTGGAAGGTTTAAGTCTGACTACCTAATCAATTTAGTCAAGTCTCGCGACCAGCATAGTTTGTCTAGAACTCACATTTTAACCTCGGATCCCCTTATGACTCGATCAGCATAGCTTGTCAGGGATCCATATTCTTACCAAAGATTTAGGATTTCACCAGCATATGCTATAGAGAATCTACACTGTAACCCGCGATTCCCACAGGATGTTGCCAAAAACCAATATTCTAACATCTGATTCCCACAGGATTTCACCAGCGCAGGTTGCTGAGGACGTATTCACACCCCAGACGCTCCATGAGGTATGGTCTCACCTTGGATCTCATGCCAGTGGATCAGTTGAGTACCATGGGTGACCAGGATGCAGATAGCATGTCACTGTGGGCTGTTGCTCAAACTATCCATCACTAGTCTACCTGTCCCAGACATGATGTCTTCCAGGCTCTCATGAAACGCCTTGAAAACATCTGACTATGGCACGATTTGTTTTCTCGTACAATCAGCAAACAATGTATTCATGAACTACACAACACTTCACACCATTCACAAGTTATTTATTGCCCATGAAGCAAGTATTTCTTATCAAGGTAGATCAACAGTGTCTTGAGCTGGCTTTACTTCAAATAAATCTCAAGCCAAAGCCCATTTTGCTGCAGCAGACGTACTGGCAAGCCAACTTCGGATCATCTGGATCAGTCTATTCGGGAAACAAGGTGTGCCTACTGCCTACTCTACAACAGGAATAGATTTGCTACACAACCACTAACCAAAACCGGACATACTGGTTCTACAAGATAATAACCTTCTAACAATGGTCTTCTTCTGCTGGAGAGAGTAATGATATATCTATGCTGTGCAGCCCCAGACCCTCATCCGAAGGTCGATTCAATTGTTTTCAGACAAAATGGCCAATTCTCAAAAGTTGGCTTTACAGTGCTGTTATAATGGGCAGTCGCGAAAGAAATGGCTTCAACTAAACTGTCTCGAAATATACTGTAATGGTGTAATGATTGAAATAATGTCTTGGTGTATCGAAAGCTTGCATGTGAGAAGTATCTAATCTAAGGAACGGTCCAAACCAATAAGCTGCTCTTGGTATTACTAGTACTGCAAAACAATATAGGGCATCATATTGAAAACAGAGTTTCACTTGTTATTCATGGAACATCTACATAGAATCAGGCAAATTATTAATTATTCAAAGGAAACAAGACATAGGTATCAACTTATTTGTTGACATATGCATTGAAAAAGAAAAAATGTTTAAAATTAACTGGTTCTCATGCAATGCAAGCTGCCTCGTGCTGCTTTAGGAAACATGGCTGCCATATTATAGTGATAGCTCAGAATTGATTCCTTACAACAAATTAACCTAATTGCTTTGAAACTACTTTCAACTAATCTTAAGTAATGTGTCAGTCTTTAATCTACTTTTTTTTCCCAGTGTATGTTTCTTACTTGTTTTACTGAATTCACATGATCCCTGGAAATACAGTTAACCATTTTTGTGATTTCAATAAAAAATACTCTTGTAGTGTGTTTAAGCATCTTAGACACATATTTCAGCAAATACCAAGCTGTAGCTTCAGTGCGACAAATTAACACTCTATCCACCCTTTAATAAATGGGCTGTTTCTTGAGTTGATACATTGTATGACATCACCTGAGAACCAAGACAATTAAGCATTTTTTCTCCGTTTTATCAAAGTCAACATAAGATACACATGCAAAAACATTGATAGTACTTGTCTATTTCATGAATGAAATGTAAACATATATGTAGAAATTTTGTACAATGGAGTAAACGTCTGTAAATATAACACATGACAGCCTACATTTAAAAATTAACTCAAACTAAAAATACACAAAATATTGAACTCTGTCCCAAAGCAATCTATACAAAATACACAAATCTGTTGCATGCCTGTAAAGCACTTATTCCAAACACTGAAAGCACTGATAACCAACTGATGAAATGTACTAGCAATAACAGATACACTGGCTAAATATACTACACTGAAAACTCCCTGACTTCCAGCAAAGCAATGCAAAGATTAATATCACTTAATATAAAATACACCTCTATGGAGCAGCAATTACATTTCTGAGAGATGGAATTTTTTTTAAATGAATTAAATTCAAGATGGAGACAATCAAAGATGTCAAGGACCACCTGATTTTTTTCATATTACGATAGTTAATCTGTCGCAGCAGGGTGGTCCTTATCTTTCTTTGAGTAGTATATGTCCTGTTTAATGGGAAGTCATGCAGCAGGTGCTTGTGAATACAATTTTCAAACCTGCCTGAAACTACCTGACACACTGGATTAAATAAACCAACAAGCTCAACAGCTTAACTCAAGTTCTTGACCCATCCATGGAGAATATGCCCGAGTCTACAACACTACGAAGACAGGGAAGCAGGGAGCTTTCAAACAAGCAGCTACAAATGACAATAAATAAAACTGATGAAATAGTTACACACCTTTAAAACATCAAATACTGAATTATGATTGGGCAAGTCATAGTAAGAGCACTTATGAAATAGTCAATAAATAGGATTTGTATTATATTAGAACCAGAACAATTATTGCTATGGAAAATGTTCTTATCTCTCACTTTTTGTTTCCATACAAATATGTATGCATATCAGAGACTGACTGTTACAATACCTGGTATATTCATCATGACCCACACCAAAAAGTTAGAAAACCATTAGCAACCATTTATGACATACTGATATATGTCACTATAGCAATGTCATTGACCTATTGAATAATTCAGTTATATCACACTTTTATCAGAAGACAAGAACTGCCATGTAAAACAGGGGAGATATTAAATCAGATTTGCCTCCCACTATCCCCCATCCAAGAATATGTGATAGATCTTTTAACGCATACAAACACAGCAACATGACAAGCTTTGTGCATATCTGTAGCACATACTGACTTGCAGAAACTGTAAGGACAAATCACACAAGATAGTATAACACATATACTGGATGCTAAATGTCCTATATCATCAAAAACCACAATTTAAATATACACAGGATATCTGCATATATAATGGATGGCCAGTGAGGACAATACCCAAGTTTGGGTTGGACGATTTATGTAAATAGCACATAATATCCTCTGTTTTGTTTTTAAAAATAGTAAGAGTATTTATTTAAAGCACAAAAGGTGGACAGTAAACCATGATTGTTTGAGAGACATTTCTGACAAAATATAGTTCACTGACATTGAAAATAATCTGTTATTTGTGTGATCAGCTAATTAAGCTTCTAGTACACATTAGCTTTAAGCACAAACTTGTAGCTCAGTAACCATAGTAACAAATTTAATTTGCCTAAACAAAACTCAACCAGATATACACGGAGATCAGCAGAATATGTTTTCCTAACAACAAGAACACAAGAATAACAGGCATTTTCAGCCAGAAACAAAATCATTGCTGGACAGTTATAGCACAAATAAAATTAACAATTTTCCAAAATATATATCTCTGAAAACACAACCGGCTGGAGACATGAAGATACGATAACAACAGAGTTAGAATTTAATGTGGGCACAGAAATTTACTTGTGCTCACCAGAAATGTAATGTAAGTTACAAACACCCAAATATCATTGCCACTCAACAAAGTTATACAGACAAGCTCCAACACTAACAAATGGTAGCAATAGATTTAATACAATGAAAGTTTTCAGCCACAAAGATGAATTTATTAGACAAATGATCAAAATGTTATGCAGAAAATGTTTTTTCTTCAATTTAATCAATCTGTTTAGGTGTATGTGTACATTAACAGGGAACAGATGTGACTCCCACTATATTTGTTGGGACTATATTTTGGTGCATGTTATATAGTTGAGAATTACACAATACACAACATTCTTGTCATCTTCTCTCAAAACAGTAACATCTAATAATTAAACTGTGAACAGCATGACACACAAAACAACATTATCCTTGAGCTTCTCGTTGGCACTGGGGCTCCCAACCATACCATACACAACAGAGGTGATAACACTGATTGTGACAAGGAGCCAGTTGGTTACATTAACAGAAATAGTAACCCTGGCAGTGTAGTCAGTTGCATTATAGGGTTCACAAGAGTTTGCACACAGTCTATTAAAAGACACTTAATTTGACTTCCATGAGTTGTACAGAGCCTTGTTGCATTATCCGACTACAATTCGCCATGTGCGACATTCAGCTCAATGTTACACAGGTAATGGAGAACCTGTGTGAACAGATCATAAAGTACAGACAATGACAGGCCATGGATCACTAACATTACCGTATGTGAGCAAACTATATTTGAACAATTTGCCACAAAGTTGTAAAAGTACTTTATAGTTGGAATGGTTTATAAATGTAACTGAATTTCTTAGCAAAGCAGAAGAACCTGATAAGTTACATATCACATGTGTTCTTATTTTAGAAATCTGAACTCAGACCTAATGGTGAGCAACTCAATAAAGCCTGAAACTACATAACAACATCTCAACCAGATAAATATCTCTCAAGTTGTAGCAAGACAGACAATTTGACCAGTCAGAACTTATCAGAATTGTAATCAGTCAAAGCCTACTTTGTAACCATGGTTTCTCGGGGTAACACTTAGTACTGAACAACTAATGATATCTTGACAAGGGAGGTAACAAGCATGACCAGGACACCCAGGGAATGAAACCAGCCAGATGCAGGACAGATCAACACTTTAACACCTGGGCTAAACTCAAGACTCTCCTGGTGTCTAAGGTATTCTTCCATCTTGGTCTCGCTTACTTATCACTGTGAAGGGTGATGTCTGATGTGGAGTGAAATTACTGGATCACATGTTTTCATAACTTCTAATCTATTATACCTCTTCATGATAATTCAAAGCACTCTCTCTCCCACAAATGACCTTTTACAGGGTTTATACTAGTATATTTTTCTGAATCCATCCTTAGAATACATCAATATGGTCTCGCTTAACAAAAGAATGGATGATTTCTACATCATACAATCTGGAGAACATGACATGAGAAGCTGACAGTCGTGGCATACCGCATACACACAAGCAGAACGTGCTCTTCCTAGCTCTACACCCAGGCATTACAGATCAGTAAGACACCAAAAATAGAGCACTTATGACGGTATTATTACTGGGATTAAATATACAATGCATAGGTGGCTGTGAAAGGCAGGGAATGATGGAATGTTAATGGTCAGGATGATCTGGTAAAATACATGGGTGCTTTGGCAAGATCACGCAGGCTTTTAATGATTAATGTATACATATATATATATCTATCTACCAAATACAATGCCTGAATTTGGAAATATTACATATTTGTGTAGGCATTAATTTTGAAATTTTTCTGGATTGTACATGAAATGAACAGAAATTGTGGAAAAAGGCAACATCAGTACTTTGTTTCACAAATAATTTTGCAACAAAATACAGTGGAATTATCATGATATGTAGCCTGTACTTCATACAGTCATTTCACTGAAAATTGCCTTGGAAGACAAAGTACCGACTTGTCCCTCTTAACTACAGAACAGATGCTAAAACCGAATTACCGGTAAATATAGATATTGGTAACACTGGTCCATTCAGTTCGAGAATTTGTACAACTGATATTATTTGTGGGTTTCTTTGTGTACATTTATATTTAAAAAACCAAAAAAAACATACCTGAATGATACTATTCACATTACAATACAATACTTAACTGACATCATAGGAAGCATCTGCTCAGAAATTTCATGCAATGGTTACAGGGAAACAACCTATTTTTATTTTATATTATGCAAAAAATCTTAAACATAGCCACATGAAGATATCATGAAATAAAAAACTCGCCAAAGCACCAATTTTCACCAAATTCAGGTAATTAGGTAATTGTTATTCTATGATTGCATGTTATGATTGATCAAGGGTAAGCACCTACATATCATCAAGTTGGCGATTTTTCAATGATTTAATGATGGTCTTAACGACGGAAGCTGCAGCCAGGGAGGAATAAGACGCCCATTCCTTTCCCTTGGACCCATCCCGGTAATCAGCGATTCCCCGGACAAACATGAAACTATCCTTCACATTTCCACAGATTGAATCTAAAACTTGATCAAATTCTGTATCAAAGGCGCAAATGCCATACTTTGTTGCAAAGTCTAATTTGGTGGAATCATTCCTCACAACTCGGGCTCCCGATGCAAACACTCCAAAATGCAATCTCGGTACGTCGTGACGAGCAATGACGCCATCAGTTGGTTCTGGGTGCTGGACTTCTATGACCTGACCTTCACCTACGTTGATGTACAGACGGTCAGATGAAGGTTGTGGGCGGGCGAAGTTGGATTCTTGGGCCATCAGCAGCTCTTGACCTTCTCGGATGTACTCCTCCCAAGGGGCATAATCAGGGTTAGTCTGGTGGGATTCTTCAATGCGCTCAGCAATCCTTTGTAGGACCATGTCCCTCGGAGCCCAGTTCTTGAGGTTGTAGTGGACTTGTTGCTCGCGATCCTGCACAATCTTCTCACAGAAGTAATAGATGTAGCCCTTGTCGTTGCTACGGGAGATTACGACATCACCCAGACGGATGTGTTTGCTGTAATCAGTAACGTGTGGCACGCCACCAGCTACACCCACAACGAACACGTGTTCAATGTTCTGGAATGATCCTGCAAACAACAGATGAAGATTAAGGATACAGTGAACATTTGTACACAGTAAGCTCCCTTGGGTAATACATATGTAGACCGTCATACTAGTGCATTTGGATGTTTTGTATTGAGAAGATGTCATGGGAGCAGAGAAACAGCTCGTTCTTTGAACTCGTTGTTTCTCTGCTCCCATGACATCTTCTCGTTCAATACCAAACATCCAAATGCACTAGTGTGACGTTCTATATTTATTATACCCTCTTGCATTAATGTTACTTAATAAAACAAATAATAGCAGGGGTTCAATACGGAATCTGGGGTGCAATACGGAATTGATGATGTCATCCGTATTGCACCCCTGTACAACTATCCTAAGTTTACATGGGTATATAATAAAACAAACCATATACAACAGTCAACACAGTCTTCAGACATTAAAGTTATTACTGTGTTCTCAATATATTACCCCCTGATAATCTCTACATAATTTTCATTACCTTCCAGGCTAACTTATAACTAACAGATGTATATTTTGTCAAACAAACTTGTACACTCACCAAGAAGTCTGGTCGTGGAATTTCCTGAAGAAATCTGAGCAGCCCTGAAATGTCCTATGGCTGGAAGTTTAGTGGACACGACCTTGTGCTCTCCAATATACCCAATTGTGTATACGTTGGATTCACCTGACAAGAGAAATTTCAATACAAACATATGGAATATAAGAAGGAAAATGCCACAAAATACATTACTTACACAATATTATCTGTCAATTTTGTCTCCACAGAAAAAACAAACACTCATGGTAATATGCGCACAAGTACAGATTCCAACAGTCTTCCATATAGTGTTGCTACATTTGAAATAGTGGTGGTCACACTCAATGACTTGGTTGATGCATGTCATCCCCACTACAAAGGTTGACACTCATGATGTTAGCCACTAAACTGTCTGGGGAAGACTTAATTATTTATAGACTGCTGTCATATGGCTGGGAAACTACTGACTTGCATTAAATGTTAGAGAAACAAGTAACTGACATAATCCTTAGTACAAGTCTCTAACTAAATGGCAGTTTATGAGACAATACACATGGTAACCATAACATCTACTTATATAACAATGCCCAGCAGAACAGGAGATGTTATTTACAAGTAAATCATGTCTGTAGATGATGTATCTAAAATTTCAAATGTTCATTGACAATGTATGTTAAAATGTGTTCCTGATAGCTGAATTTGGTGGAGGGATACGATGTAGTTTTTTTGACTGTGCATAAAACTTGAAATTTGTTGTTTATAAACAAAAATATAAGTGCATAGTATTTGGGTCCACATTCTACTCAAGTAAATATTATGAGTGAAATTCCATTCAAACTGGTTTCAAAACAAAACTCTTTACTGTTTGAGAGGCATATTAAACAGTAGCCATTGTTGTTGTATGATCCTCCTTGCCCTACAACTTGTAGAGAGAGTTGGGGAATCTTGCCCTACAACTTGTAGAGAGAGTTGGGGAATTGTCCTTCCTGAAACCTCACAACTGGTATACAGTCCAGTAACCTGTTCTATGTCAGAGTGACCTCCCCTGGTACTGACCTTCAGTCTTGTACTTCATGTAGGTGGTCTTGTTCTCCATCATGGCGTCGATGGCAAGTTTCTCACAGTACATGGCAGTAATGATGGCGATGGTGGGTTGCTGACCAGAGGCAATGGTGGGCATCTGTTTCACCATCTTCACCTCTACAACACGTGATGGATGTCATGTGAACTAGTTGCTTTACAGCCGGCCACAGGCACATAGTTTTGAATCCTAAATACATCCCTGACAATCATTCTACAGTCACATTCAAAAGACTAAAATCTCATGTATTATCTTTTTAAGTTATTTCCTTTTCAAATCAGCTAAGGTTAAGACAAGTGAAATTCTTTTCCATAAATAATGTAAGAAAGTCATAATATGTTACTGTTACTTCAAGAAATGTTCCTAATGTACAACACTAACAGCTGGTCTCTTACCTGTCTTTGTATCAAGCACCTGTCTCACGATTCCTCCATTTTCCATCTCCTTCACAAGTTCCTTATCATACAAACTTTTCAGCTGCTCTGTGACCATAACCTCTTCTGAGGCCGTAATTCTGAAGACGGATTAAGTGAAACATGTCAAAGCACAAACCTATGCAGCTAACTTATGTCAGGTGATGTCATGCTCCTATCTGATGAGATGAGATGAAATGGGGTTAAACGTTGCACTTAAGAATATTTCACTCATATGACTTGCATGCGTGTGTATGTGCGGCTGCTTGTACTAGCCCAGACTTCAGCTGGTTTTATAGTGCTAGCTCACTGACATACCATGCTGCAGTTAAGCATGAATACCCCACTCAGACACATTATACTGACTCCGAGCCGACCAGTCCTTGTTGTACCTATTCATGCCGAACGCCAAGCAGGGACCAACAAGTCCCATATTTTAACATTTTTGGGTATGACACGGCCAGGGATCGAACCGTGTGGATGCTCTAACCACTACACCATGGAGGCGGTTGCCCCTATCTGAACAGTAGCCAGGCTATCAGTCTTCTGTTTCATGAAGACTGTTGTATATCCTAGTTAGATAACACACTGGACATTAACATTGCTATGGTGTGAATCTTGAGTCACCCGCCTGGATATTTCTTTTATAATAAATACATAAATAATAAATACTTCTTGTGGCATCTGTTCTAAGTCTAAGAACTAGAGCAGTGTGAATATAGGATTCACACCCACACCCATCAATTTCTAGCAACCATTAAACAAATATACAAGTCCTGCCCCGAGAATCCAAGACTCTTGTCAACAGAACATGGCAATGACATGGATCCCTACCCACCTGACAAGGTCCTCCACCGCCAAGACGTTGGGGTAGGCAGATTCAAGCACAGTCAGAATCTTCTCACGGACAATCTCCTCTGTCGGCCTCGTGTCTTCTCGCATCAGACCTGCAACAATGACAACACCATTGATTCCTGTGCTGGACAGACTGACTGAAGGTAGGGCTCATACCCCAATAGTGCCATACCAAACACCCTAACTGGTATGCTGCTTATGTATCAAGGTCCTGATCCACAAGGTGTTCATAGCGCTACGACATTCGTCAGCTTATGATAAACTATCACAAGAGGTTGTAGTGCTATGAATGCTTTAAGGATAGGGATTAAGAACAGAACCAAAGATCAACTCAGCTATACATGTATCCCAAAATATGTTCTGTTGTAGTGAATGAAATACAAAGAGATGACTTGATCATAAACCTCCACCATTATGAATGCATCCAAGACAATTAGCAAACAGATTACACAGAACATGATGATTCAATCATTACGATTACCTCGCCCCTTTATGAACAGTGAGCAGATTTACCTCACCAAATAGTCATGATTAAGCCTTAATTATAATGTATATTCTTCTTACTTCCTTAATGTCATGAATAAAATTTGCAATATTCAATCAAGGCACTTTACCAACATCTAACACACCACCAAACACCCCACACCAAACCAGATTGCCAGCTACTTGCATCACAAGAGTTACCTCCCCTGCCCAACATCTGTCCTTGAATACAAACAATGCTTCCTGCATTATTTCAGCAATGGACTTATCATATGCAGGCAGTACCCTGGTGTCAAGGTAAGTGTGTGTATTGTTTACACTGTAACAATATACCAGCACCACATGAGTCCTGACCCAACAAGCAAGAAGTGGTTGGTACTAGATTCTCTTCTCCCCATACTGATGATACAATGACTCAAAGTCACAACATCTTTACCATCTCATTCCCACAGTAGTCAGTACCAAATCTGACACTGTAATTGGTAGTAGTGCTGTTCTACCTTGGCAGAAACTGCAAGAATGTTTCAGGATCTGTACTAGAAACACCAGGTATGTGCTCCAGGAAGTGTACTAGAAACGTGCTCCAGGAAGTGTACCAGAAACGTGCTCCAGGAAGTGTACCAGAAACACCAGGTATGTGCTTCAAGAAGTGTACCAGAAACACCAGGTATGTGCTTCAAGAAGTGTACCAGAAACACCAGGTATGTGCTTCAAGAAGTGTACCAGAAACACCAGGTATGTGCTTCAAGAAGTGTACCAGAAACACCAGGTATGTGCTTCAAAACACCAGGTGTGTGCCAAGAGAAACACCAGGTATGTGCTTCAAGAAGTGTACCAGAAACACCAGGTATGTGCTTCAAGGAAGTGTACCAGAAACACCAGGTATGTGCTTCAAGAAGTGTACCAGAAACACCAGGTATGTGCTTCAAGAAGTGTACCAGAAACACCAGGTATGTGCTTCAAGAAGTGTACCAGAAACACCAGGTATGTGCTTCAAGAAGTGTACCAGAAACACCAGGTATGTGCTTCAAGAAGTGTACCAGAAACACCAGGTATGTGCTTCAAGAAGTGTACCAGAAACACCAGGTATGTGCTCCAGGTATACCAGAAACACCAGGTATGTGCTTCAAGAAGTGTACCAGAAACACCAGGTATGTGCTTCAGGAAGTGTACCAGAAACACCAGGTATACCAGAAACACCAGGTATGTGCTTCAAGAAGTGTACCAGAAACACCAGGTATGTGCTTCAAGAAGTGTACCAGAAACACCAGGTATGTGCTTCAGGATCTGTACCAGAAACACCAGGAATGTGCTTCAAGAAGTGTACCAGAAACACCAGGAATGTGCTTCAGGATCCATACCAAAAACACCAGGAATGTGCTTCAGGATCTGTACCAGAAACACCTGGAATGTGCTTCAGGATCTATACCAGAAACACCAGGAATGTGCTTCAGGATCTGTACCAGAAACACCAGGAATGTGCTTCAGGATCCATACCAAAAACACCAGGAATGTGCTTCAGGATCTGTACCAGAAACACCAGGAATGTGCTTCAGGAAGTGTACCAGAAACACCAGGAATGTGCTTCAGGAAGTGTACCAGAAACACCAGGTATGTGCTTCAGGAAGTGTACCAGAAACACCAGGAATGTGCTTCAGGAAGTGTACCAGAAACACCAGGTATGTGCTTCAGGAAGTGTACCAGAAACACCAGGAATGTGCTTCAGGAAGTGTACCAGAAACACCAGGAATGTGCTTCAGGATCTGTACCAGAAACACCAGGAATGTGCTTCAGGAAGTGTACCAGAAACACCAGGAATGTGCTTCAGGAAGTGTACCAGAAACACCAGGTATGTGCTTCAGGAAGTGTACCAGAAACACCAGGTATGTGCTTCAAGAAGTGTACCAGAAACACCAGGAATGTGCTTCAGGAAGTGTACCAGAAACACCAGGTATGTGCTTCAGGATCTGTACCAGAAACACCAGGAATGTGCTTCAGGATCTGTACCAGAAACACCAGGAATGTGCTGGAAGTGTACCAGAAACACCAGGAATGTGCTTCAGGAAGTGTACCAGAAACACCAGGTAATGTGCTTCAGGAAGTGTACCAGAAACACCAGGTATGTGCTTCAGGAAGTGTACCAGAAACACCAGGAATGTGTGCTTCAGGAAGTGTACCAGAAACACCAGGTATGTGCTTCAGGAAGTGTACCAGAAACACCAGGAATGTGCTTCAGGAAGTGTACCAGAAACACCAGGTATGTGCTTCAGGAAGTGTACCAGAAACACCAGGTATGTGCTTCAGGAAGTGTACCAGAAACACCAGGAATGTGCTTCAGGAAGTGTACCAGAAACACCAGGTATGTGCTTCAAGAAGTGTACCAGAAACACCAGGAATGTGCTTCAGGAAGTGTACCAGCCTGGGAAATTTAGAAGACTGTAATACAATGACCAACACTTTAACAAGCCCTAGCAAACATACCTGTACACAATGATCATGATTTTGGGAATTTGTTGACAGACAACACACATCACAGCAAAATGCTAGATCTTCCAAGTAGGTTGCCTGTTGCATTTCTAGACATTCTATGCAGGCATTATGGCCACAGGCCTCTCTCATTATAATACCACATTACATGCACAAGGTCAGTGTTCAAGTCCAGGAAACAACTACCAGGCTCTTGAGATGACCCCTCAACAAAACGAATGAACTGAAAAGCCAAACAACACAAACTCCCACCCTGAACACAATAACATGCAACTGTCATGCAAACTGATCAATCACAGGGAACTGTCATGGCCCTGTTAGAACTGAAAAGGAGACAATCTTAAAAAAAAGAAAAGAAATAATTTAACATATACAAAAAAATGTGCTACCAACAAAAAGAATGGTTTGTCTAACTAAAGTGCTTCTTGTAACTGTTGTAACAGTGCAAGGTAGACACGAGAGTAGACAGTAGACACGAGAGTAGACAGTGCAAACTCCTAACACCACAACGATCCACACACCAACAACAACACCAAACTGGAGTGTGCAATACTTACCAAACCCATCAAACCCATCTTCTCCTACGCAGCGGAGGAAACAGTCTCAGCATTAGATATAGTGATACATACTGTGGTCAACTTATTTCACTAAATTGCACAATGTATTTAAAAAGCAAATAATGTAATCTCTAGTGAAAGTAATAATGCATTTGAAGCTGATAAGAAAATGCTACCATCAAAAGTTACATTTCTTCTCATATAAAAAATTCCATCTAACTTTAGAATTATGACTACATAACATTTTTAATTCCTTTAACTCACAAGACAAATCTTGGAAATAACATAATGCAGGCCACATGCATGCATAGGGAAACTCAAAGTCTGGAGGCCAAATAGAAAACATGACACTCCAAATGGGTGGTCACAGCCATAGGTACACCCAGACGTGAACCAACAAGGGAGACAACTGAGTATGACTCAGATCATCAGGGTCAAAACCAGTACTATCATAAGCATGGTCTGGGTTGTTTCTGTTTGTTGTTATTGGCGAAAATCAAGAATATTCTAGTTTTATGACAGAGGTGAGTAACTATAGAAGTTCATAAACCAGACAATGCATACAAAAATTCTTAATCTCATTAGTCACCTCTCACAGTATTTCAATCAATATCTCAAGTTGTAGCATATTTCTGACTGGTGGAATTAGGTTCAAAGTATTGAATTACCACCAAAGTCCCAATAGTGGCCGTATCAAGATAAATATCACTTTGGATCCTTACTACTGTGTGTCAGTACATTATCCATCTTCTTATGCTAATAAACACATCATAAAGCTAAATATAGTTGAAATAGTGCTCATGCATCAATTCAAAACTGGATGTTTATGTGTGACAGCGATCAGCCATGTTCCAACTATCACCCAATTGGACTACTGAAGTCCATCATTCTCTCATGAACCTTCACAGCGATGCAAAACCATTACCAAGGTAAATTGAAGATACCCATATTCTTGGGAAAGTAAATGATTTCAGACTACGAGGCAAGTTGTGAACAGGGCACATGCAAGTGGTTGACTTTGTACTACAAGGGAGACACGCTATCATTCTACTTCTTCATGTTTCCACTTGGATTCAAAATCACTTGAGCTTATCAAAATCTGTGACAAAACAATACAAAAAACAAAATACATAAGTGAAAAGAAGATGAATGAATGAATGAATGAATGAATGAATGTTCAGCCCTAACAGACACAACACCCAAATACGTATTAATTGTTTTGTAGGCTCTCATCACTAAACCATGCACTAAGTATCAACAGTCCAACAACTGTTATCACAACCAGGTTCAACTAAATCCAATCTTTAGAAAAACAACAAGGACATAATTATTAATCTACTGAAAAACAACATTTCTCTGTCCAAAATCAACCCAATGAACAATTCACATTCAAATAAAGATGTTTCTTTTCACGTTTTTCAATTTTGCAACATTATTCACATCTCTCTTCCTCAAAAACAAATGTTTCGAACTCAAAATGGCAGCCATTATTACTGGCACCTGGTTGTAATAAAAAACAAATGAGTAAGAAGATGCTGTTTGTTTAGTGGATCCCTTCACCTACCTAGCTGGTCCAGCGAGATAGTCCTGCCTTAATGGCAGAGGCAAAGAAAGAGAGAAATACATGTCAACTTGCAGTCTCAGTGAAAGTCAAGAGTTATTCCCCCTTGTGGGAGAAAACATGGCAGTGCAAACCTATTTCTACACTACTCCAAAGAAGGTACGGAACACCCAATACTTACATATTACTATAGCTGATCACTTATGGCATGACAATGTAACCATAGCAATGTGAAAGAATCAGGTGGTCCTTGTTTGGAGAATTAAGATAAGTATTTTTTTTCCACCTGACAATCATGCCTCAGTAAAGAAGAAAGAAGGGCAAGTTCAAGATAGACATAGAGACAGACATTTTAAGTCTTGACAACAATGCCACAAAGTAATAAAAAGAATCAATGCTGAAAAGAAAAATACCACATGATTCTCTGGCAATAGTTAAAGAAATTCTGGTGGTAGGCAATCCATACTTGGTACATTTGAAATCAGAAAGACTGTTCTATGACAAGATTAGTTCTTACTGATCTGCCAGTGTGTGAGATTTTTTTTTAGCCCCATGATTATTTATTTAAAAAAACCAAAATATTGCATCTTTTGTTCTTTTAGAAAAACAGTAAATGTTGACAGAATGTTTGCATGAGCCTTGTGTCTCTTCCACCCAGGTTATTTTCTGTTATGATAAAGGACTGAATTTTTCAAGATGCCTGCTACCAGTAGCTATAGTACAGTCACACCCTGATATAACGAGACAGTCAACAGTGATGTGTAGCAGACGGACTACATTGTGTCAATAGCCAACAGGAATCAAGTGTTTGAATCTGGCTCTTCTGAAGCTTCTCGGGTATGAACAAATGTTCCTTCAATACCATAGTCTGTTGGAAGTGTTCCCACCTGCTACTGTAACATTCCTGTTGCATTCAACTTTTCAACTTGTCCTAGACCAACCTGAATTACCTGGTTTACAATGCAGTAAACCCTTGACCTAGTTAAGTTTCACACTCATCTATACAACTTTCCTGGAATCATGTTTAGCAAACCATCCCTCATTTGGGTTTTCCTCATCAAGTATCACTCGACTGATACATACAAACAAATGACCATAGAGAGTTTCGAAGAAACCCTCAATTTCAGACATCATCAAGTCTTGTCTATCTGCAACAACTACCATCAGTACAGCAGCTAACCTGAGAGTTTCGAGGAACCCCTTAATTTCAGACACCATCAAGTTTTATCTATCTGCAACAACTACCATCAGAAGAGCAGCTAACCTGAGAGTTTCGAGGAACCCCTTAATTTCAGACACCATCAAGTCTTTTCTATCTGCAACAACTACCATCAGTCTGTGTGCCTACCTGGGCTCATTGGGGCCTCTCCTTCCTCCAACTTCTCGATCTCCAGGTCCACCTTCCTGGCCATGCGGAACTTCTCCCCCTGCATCTGCTTCATACACTTCTTGATGAACCCAATATAATCTGTCAACAAACATGTACAGTATTATATAGAGTCAGGGTGTGTTATAGTGTTGGGAATTGGTTGAAAACTTACAACTGATGATTGCTTCATTACCAACGAACAATCATCGAAAAAAATTGGTTAGCGTCATTTTTCAGATTGTCCTATCCAGGTTGTTATTGCAGATATGTATAACATGATGCACCTTGCTACTTTAAAGTGATGTTGATATATCATGAACATAAACCTTCTGGGGTCTTCAAGAAATATTCAGTCATGACTTTTCAGTTAGTTTTCTAAGAATTAAACAAGTTTGCAGGCCCTGATAACTTCGAAGATATGTTCCATCGTCAAGTGTTTCAAAGACTAAACAGCAATTCCAAGATCGTTGTGTTCGATTATGATAAAATGTGATCGATTCCTTGGTCGTTTGGTCACTGCTACCAATCTTCGATTATTTCAATTAATCGGAACACCACTAGTGTGTTATACTTCAGTTATATCACTCCATCATTGATATTGTTATAAACTGCTCGCTACTGCCATACAAAGGTTTGAAGACATTCCTTTACATGTCAAGCTGTAATGATCTTTGCAAACTTTACCGACCAATGAAACAACTTATCAAAAGGCAGCACTAGTTTCAACCTGCGACTATCATTTAGGGCTATGTTTTGAAAAACATCAATTAAAATTTTTAAAACTGAACAATTTTGCAAGTCAACATTTCACTGAAGTTTGAGATATACATAATTTGATGGAAACAGTCGTACAGCCTGTTACTGTCATTCAGAAAACCTCCAGTTGCAAGATTAGAAAACATTCTCAATACCATTTCCCCAACCTGTTAAGCAAATCTCTGACTGGTAGGACAAAAATGTTGTTCGAACATGATCTGTGATGGAATATCCCCAGGTCTTTAATGAGCAGTATTGAGAAATAAAATCTGCTTAATGCAGTCCTTGGTGAACCAGATGTAACTTTGTTAAAAACAAAAAAAAGGGACCCTAACAGTTAATGTGACACAGAGACTAACTAGCTGGTAATCTGAGGTCATACAACAGAGGTCACAGCCAACTTCAGTAACTTTTTAACAGAAGCATATGATGTCTAACACAGATAACACCTGCATAGAAAGCTGATAGCACTTCATTTGGAATATTTCTAGAGTATTTACATCCTTTCATTTATTAATACTTATCTAATTACAAGTGAAACTTTCTGCCAGAATTGAGCTGCAATGTACTGCAATGTCACTGTGGAATACATGAATCCATAAGTTTTTCCTGAATGATGAGAAACAGAAACGTCAATCAGTGGATTTTTATTTCCATTGGTCTCAGTTCCAATGTTCTCTGTAATATTGCATTTTACAAGGCCACACATCTAACCTCGGGGGAAGTTCTCTGGTCTGACAAGCTCTTTGAAGAAGTCATAAGCTGTTGTCACTTGATGGTAGTAATCTGTATTTTCCTGGTACCAGAACTTCAGTTTCCTACTTTCCTGAAAGATCAGTAACAATGGTCAGGGTTAATCTGCGACAAAACTGTGAGGCTGTACATATTATATTCTGTGTTTCCCATCTAGCGCCTGCCCTGTATGTTCATTGTGACAGAAAATAATAAACAGTATTCTTCTCTCAATTTTACATGCCCCCCATGAGAGAAAAAGTACTCTTACTCGTGCATAATCCTAAAAATACCAGGTCAGCATAATTTATCTCTATCTAATTTGAAAAGAAAGAAAGAAGAGTTTTGGAAGCCAAGCCACTCGATCTACTTCATGAATAATTAAAGACTATTACCAATAGATCTAAAAATATTTCTGGTAAAAAGTTACAACTAGTGAAAATACATTAATTGTCATTTTTTCTTTTTTTCGCTCATGCACTCTCTTGCTGATTGAGGTTGGAAATGAGAAACACATACGAATGGCAAATTTAGATCTGGTGAGTTGTAAGCCATTTTGGACAGTACATCAGCAAAATCCCAGCATGCCATGTTACTATGGGAAGAAAGTCTTGAGTGTTGCAGGACTGTGTGAGTGAGTATGGATTTACGATACTTTTAGCAATATTCCAGCAATATCATGGCGGGGGACACCAGAAATAAGCTTCATGCACTGTACCCATGTGGGGAATCGAACCTGGATCTTCAGCGTGAAGAGTGGATGCTTTAACCACTAGGCTACCCCCACCGCCCCAAGTGATGCAGGAATCAGGGATTTACCACTAGGTGAGTGAGTGAGTTAGTGAGTATGGATTTACGATACTTTTAGCAATATTCCAGCAATATCATGGCGGGGGACACCAGAAATAAGCTTCACATTGTACCCATGTGGGGAATCGAACCTGGGTCTTTGGCGTTACGAGTGAATGCTTTAACCACTAGGCTACCCCACCGCCCCCCTACCTAGCAGAAACCCATGAACATGTGTGTGAGGCTGACAAACTTAGAAACATTATCAGGGCAAACATGGAATTGAGTTCATGATCACCAGTTTCAGGAAAAAAATATATATTTTCAACCATGGAATAATGGAAGACATCTTGAGGCAATTATCAGAATAACACATCATGCAATGAAATTATGCAATTGCAACAAAAGATAATAATAAAACGTCTAATTAGCAAATGTCAAACAAATCATGATGAATATCCCGATACCATGGTCTGAAATATATAGGCCATGAGGCTATAGCTTACAAGGAAATACTAGTGAATCTGCAAAATCTGGTTATTACACAGTTTCAGTTCACCAGTTTTACACCAATAAAGCTTGTAATGCAATATGCTGTCTGAAACACAGGCTGTAAACCAATGTCTTGTACCGTGGGCCTCGGGACCCGATACAATACAGTATTGCCATATCCTTCCACCACTAAGGTTATACACTTCAAACCAACTTGTTAAATACAGTATGACATGAGCATATAAATTCTTCACGCATAACATTGTGTTTCTTAAGCCTCATAACCAGGGTCCCGTTCCTCAAAGCGATCGTAGCGCTATGACAGTCGTAAGTCTATGTTAAAGTATGGGAGTTACGATCATCTTAGCACTACGATTGCTTTGTGCAACAGAGCCCAGATCCAGTAGTGCAAAATGAAAAGAACTGTTACTAAACGTAAGTCCTTACCACATAATGTTGCCCCGTCTTCTGATCCACCAAGAAGCACATGAACCCTAGCTGTAGCTGCGGCTTTCCGTACATCTCTTCGCCTGGAACACATCACACATATATTCATTATCATCATAACACAGGAATAGAGTAGTCACTAGTCTGCTACTTCCAGACAAGCACAATTTATTGAAATCTAACCATTTTTATTTGGAAGTGCCAGTCCGAACTATGGACTGGTTGTATAACAATGACATAAAACCTTGTAATGATGCATGCCAGCATCAGAACCACTGAATAAAACAAATTATTGTTTGTTATGTTTTAGAGTGAGTGAGTGAGTGAGTGTTTTTATGCCACTTTTATCAATATCAGCAATCTCACGTCAGGGGACGCCACAAATGGTCTTCACACATTGTCTTCGGCATGGTAAGTGAACGCTGTAACCACTAAGCTATCCCACCGCACCTTTGCTGATAAGAAATTCAGCTGACAGTTCGAGTAAACATGGAGAAGACAACAAAGAAGCAGCATGAAGACAGCGATTCGAAGGGTAATGTCACAGCTTCATGGTTATGAAGTGAGTGAGTGAGTGAGTGAATGTTGCATTACGTCCTGTCAGCAACATTGCCTCTAACAATCAAAGTCATGTGAGGAAACCAACCAATGGCTGGTAGTATGAACAAACAATACATCTGGGTTTCATGAACAAAGATTGAGATTTGACACTTACAGTTACAGTTAAAGAGCTATTAAAATGTATTAACTGATCCTAGCATAATACATAGGATGAACTATTCAGCACGCAAAGACATTAAAGGGAGATAACACTGTATCTCTTCATCACAAAACATTCCCTTAACTTGACTACAAGGGACAAACATGAGAGGTGAGCAATCCTTCAATACCATCAGAAAAGCCACATTCCACGATGATTCAAAGTAAATTATCTCCTTGCATCTTGCAAAGCAATCTTTATTATCATTACATGTGTTATTTGTTAAAAATGCAAAGAAATAGCCTCACAACCTAATTTTGATCACTACGAATAGAGAGTCTTTGCTCAATTTCATCTGACAAATCTCTCCTTCAATCTCTTTCATAAAAATAACAATAAAATCAATACTTCTCATTCAATTACATTCCTTCATGAAGTTGGATCAGTATCTCAATTAAATATTGTCAAATCACATATTCTTTACTCAGGTTTTCTAATTTTCTGTCTAGTTTCTTTGTTAAATTACCAATTAAAGACTTCATCTATTAGCAATTCACAGGAAGACTGCGTCCAAAATCAATAATTCATAAACAGTTGTCAAACAAATGTAATCTGAGTGGCAACCTGAAGGTAATTTGCCTGCTATGAAGTGTGCACTGTGTTCACACAGATGACAGATTGTGTGCAAGCGTCCATTATAAAGCAGCTTGATAGGAACATATTAAACTGCCATTGATTTGTCAAACATCACTGCGAACATGATTGCTTTTAACTATTCATGGCAGCAGACATACTATTATCCTCAAAACTGTCAATAATGGTAATGGGATTTAAGCCAGTCTAAAGAATCCTGATGCATTTAAGCATAGGTTGAGTATGTTTTATTTGACCACAAATTTCCATTTCTCTTATTACATACAGAGCATGTGTTTGCTTACAGAGTGAAACGGAAGGAATGCCATCAACTCTTTTTCTCCTCAGTAAGCTAATGCCATAACAATAATTGGTTGCTGTATAATTCACCTACTTAAAGAATCAGAAACAGATTGAACACAAACTGCACTTGACAGTTGGTGAACACGCTAATGCCAAACCAAAAAAGACCAATTTAATGAAAGACAAAATTTTATTGCAAAGAGACAGGCAGAGAGAAAAAGAGGTAAAGAGGGAGGTAGAGTGAGTGTAGGAGTGTTGGTGTGTGTTTTTCCCAACATTGTTATAACTCAATCCTCAAAAGCCTACACAGCTCTACCCACTAGACCACAGATGCAAACTGGTCAAATATTGTTACATATAGCGATCGTCTACAGGCTACCATCATATAGCAATCGTCTACAGGCTACCATCATATAGCGATCGTCTACAGGCTACCATCATATAGCGATCGTCTACAGGCTACCATCATATAGCGATCGTCTACAGGCTACCATCATATAGCGATCGTCTACAGGCTACCATCATATAGCGATCGTCTACAGGCTACCATCATATAGCGATCGACTACAGGCTACCATCACATAGCGATCGTCTACAGGCTACCATCACATAGCGATCGTCTACAGGCTACCATCACATAGCGATCGTCTACAGGCTACCATCATATAGCGATCGTCTACAGGCTACCATCACATAGCGATCGTCTACAGGCTACCATCATATAGCGATCGTCTACAGGCTACCATCATATAGAGATCCTCTACAGGCTACCATCATATAGCAATCGTCAACAGGCTACCATCATACAGCGATCGTCTACAGGCTACCATCATATAGCGATCGTCTACAGGCTACCATCATATAGCGATCGTCTACAGGCTACCATCATATAGCGATCGTCTACCGGCTACCATCATATAGCGATCGTCTACAGGCCACCATCATATAGGGAAATATTGCTGAGTGCCGTGTCACACAACCAACAAACCACACTGGAGCAGCACATGATTGTACAACTAGTCTCAGATCGGCAGGCCAGTGCCAGCTGGTGAAAGAGTAGGGACACAAAGGCCGACAGTTTATTGGTGCTACTCCCCAGACAGTGCCTGAACTCAGCTTCACTCCACATGTGGAAAAAACCTGGCTAAACCCAATCAATAGGTTCTGCACTATCTGTGATCTTCATTAGCAAATTAGCCATCAGCCAACAAGAAGATGAGGAACAGATCTGCCAGTAACTCCACAGAGGCTACGAGGTGGGAGATCCGGGCAAATCTATTACAGGATTACTTTCCTGCAGCACCATTAAATCAATGTGCTTTATGAATGAGACTTTGTGTTGTATTCTGACTGAGAGGTTTTTCTTCATAATACTGTAACTGCTGCTTGGAAAAGAGTTAATGAGATGGTGTTTTATGCTGTAACCAGTGCTTCGATCAATACATCCCTCGATGTCCATGTGTAGCATCTTAAACATTAAACCCTCACATCTGTTTCATTCATAACAATGTATTCGCAAGTAAGAACTTAAAAGGCCAAACTTCAAAGATACATTCTGCAAATTCTAATCAAAGAAATGAAATATCCTTGGCTACCTACTAACTACTTTTTTATCATGAAATATTCTGTTTTTCATTTGTCCCATTCGCTCTGTATGTATCAGAGCTACTTTCCAGGAAAGTAGCAGCACAACAGACAAACACACACACATCCCCTAAGGATAGATAGTAAGTGAGGGAAGTGGGTTTAGTGTTGCTTTAAAGGATATTTTTCTTCACAGTGGTAATGCAGATTACAGGACAGACAACAGCAGGGTATGGTGCTCACAAAACGAGAAACAATCTCGGCAACTTGGTGCCGTAAGAAAGCTTGGGTGTAAATTAATGCAGAATATGATACCTTTCTACATACACATATACATCAGCTTCCTATACATTATTATTATTATTATTATAGGATATTTATATAGCGCACATATCCACGCACTAGTGCATGCTCAAGGCGCTGGTATTTTTCCCCTCGATCATTGGATGTCAATCTCAACTGCACATCGCATTATCAATCTCAACTCCCTGGGGAGTATACAACTCTTGCAGCCACTAGGCGCACTGAGTTATTGTGGCTTTCTCATCCTAACGAGGTACCCATTCACAGCTGGGTGGACTGGGACACATAGTCACAGTACTTTGTCCATGTTCACTGCACGTTGCTGTACCCGCAACTAGGTGTTTGCATGTATTCATGTGGCCACCATCTGGTCAAATACCAACGGATTCGTGGGTTCTTTTAAGTGCACAGGGTTGTGTACTGTACACTAGGGGTTGTGACAACACTGAAAGAGTCTGCACACAAAGTTGACTCCAAGGTTTTTACACCCGGTCACAGGTGGGCTCGATCCCGACACCTCAACCTCGCTAGATCAGTAACCTGGCGCCTTAGCCAGCTCGCCCACCGCGCCCATCTATACAATCTCATTACCCTAAAAGTTCTCTGGGTATGCTCCACCAGCTGTATTCAGGCTCTTGTTGACATGTATTTCACACCGAGAATCACGAAGCATGTCTCTTGGCATCCATACATGAACACAAGTCGCAAATTTCTACCATTTGAGGCTTGCAGTAATATAGAAATATTTGTAAAAAACTTTTACTTTGCAAACAGTAATAATCAACGTCTGTTAGGTAAGAAGCTAACTAGTTTCGGTGGCAGGAAGATGAGTGATGTAATTTGATTGTAATGTCAAGGTACAGATGATGTCACAATGCTATCTATTGTCAGTTGTATTTCTTGTGAAAGTGTGTTTTGGACAATGAATATGCTTTTCAATGGTAATGAATCTCCTGCACAGCCAAGTGTGCGGGGCCCTGGTATGGACGGGAGATGATGATAGCCGATAGCGTGAGACAATCAGGTCGATCAATACAATCAGGTATACACCAAACTCGCATGGAAATCCTGTCCAGCTTGATCACATCAACTATTGACCCAAGTGACTACAGGCCGACCACCTCACCATCCTCCATTACAACAGAATGGGCTGTTTGTCAGGAACATACACCACTGGCAAATATAAAAAACTTTAATGAATGTTTTTGCATTAATGAGATATGTGCCAATATTACCACAAGTCCATGATATGAGTATAATTTCCATGGTCAGAAGAGGAGAAAGGGAAATCTATAGAAGGCGTTGTAGAACCGTTGCCTGTTACTGTCTTATAGTCAAAGCAAACAGACACATAGAAATATACCAGGACTCCTTTAATAACAGAAATCATGCACACGATGTCATCAGAGCCATTCAGTGGTGAAGTGAATGACCAAGATAACTTATCCTGTCAGATCAATCAGTACGTCATAACGGCAAGGCTTTGTGCACTCATACTCAACTGCCGCAGATTGGAATCCGTCTCATCGACATGTGTGAGAACAGAACCACTGGTGTATGTCGGCCTTCTTTATCACATTGGTCACAGCAATGAGTAGGTCTTTCAAACTGACTTCCCTCACAACTTTAACTGGTCACCATCGGGGAAACCTTTTCTGCTTTGACTCCAAACAGTGAGTGAGTTTGATTTTATGCCACTTTAAGCAATATTCCAGCAATATCACTGCGGGGGACAGCAGAAATAGGCTTCACACATTGTACCCATGTGGGGAAGTGAACCCGGGCCTTTGGCGTGACTCCAAACAGCATTACAACCTTTCAAATTAAGTTGTTGAACTTTTTCAACCTAATTGCTAATTTTCCAATGGTGTTGTTTCAGACAAGTTTGGTGTATAAAACAACATTAATCATTATTGTAGCTACAAGATGGAGGCTGGTAATGATCATGCCTGGACCAGACAACTAGAGGTTGACATTGTGACAACTCATTAATATTCTAGCTACATGATGGTAGTTAAATGGGTAAATGGTTGTGTGTGAACACAACCGGTGGTCGATATTGTGAGCACTCATCACTAAACTAGCTACATGATTGTAGTTAAATGGGTAAGTGGTTGTGTGTGAACACAACCGGTGGTCGATATTGTGAGCACTCATCACTAAACTAGCTACATGATGGTAGTTAAATGGGTAAATGGTTGTGTGTGAACAACACAACCGGTGGTCGATATTGTGAGCACTCATCACTAAACTAGCTACAAGATGGTAGTTAAATGGGTAAATGGTTGTGTGTGAACAACACAACCGGTGGTTGATATTGTGAGCACTCATCACTAAACTAGCTACATGATGGTAGTTAAATGGGTAAATGGTTGTGTGTGAACAACACAACTGGTGGTCGATATTGTGAGTACTCATCACTAAACTAGCTACATGATGGTGGCTGGTAAATGATCACGTGTGGACAAGGCGGCCAGCGGCTGACATTGTAAACAACCACACACACCACTGAGGCACAATGATGAACACTAAAACACGTCTCTGAGTGGAACCTCCTGATCCTTTAAAGTCATACGATATGACTGGAGACAACTTGTCCATTGGAATCTTTGAGATCTTTGACAGACAGGACTCCATGTGTGTGACCTTACCTGCACCATCCTGTTTCTTGTTGATGACGATTCCTTTGTGTTGACCTCCGGCCACATGGGCAACTTGTGGCGACGATGGATCGTCGACCTTTTTATTCCTCTCCATTTTGATATAAGTGGCCTTGCCCTTCTTTGAAGGTGTCATCACGATCTCTGGAATAAGAATGGTAAACATAACCATACTGTTAACTCTGTTTATAACGACAACACTTATCACAAAATGTCTTGTAGGTCAAGGTCACTACTGCATATTTTAGTCAAGGTGCATATAACAAAGTGCAGTTATAATGAACTAAAATTAGTTTGAGTTGTTATAACTGCAGGTGTTGTTATAACTGCAGGTGTTGTTATAACTGCAGGTGTATGTATATTGATTTCCTATGGTTAACTATGACATTTGAGCTATCTTTTACTACAGACAATCTACAAGCAACTTTGGCAAATAATAAATTCATATCTGTCTAAGTTACTACCAGCGGCAAACTGTCAATGAGTGTTGCTTTATGGCACTATTTCAGCTATATCACATCAGTCTATATATACTACCCATCAAAAGTTTAGACTCACTAGTGTAAAGGTAGCCACTTACTTCCGTCAACTGTTCTAAACTAGATTCTTGCAAAATATATTATACTGTTTAAAGGTACTGTTTACACATGAACTGATGTATTGTAAAACAAATTTGTAATGCTGAAAAGATTATTGTCATAAGTTCAATAAATTATAAAACAGTAAAACTTTAACCAAAACGCAGCTGTTCCCATGCACAATAACTGCACATGCTTTTCATCAATTTGATGCATGATCCTCGTGCAATTTATCTGCATAAGGTTTGCAGTTAGTTCCCCCAAGTTAGTGGAGAAATTCATCTTCGATGTAACCATATTTATTACCTACGAGGGGGAAAATATCGGGGTTCATATTTTTCATACGATGCCCTTGGGCAAAATATCTTTGTCATGGTGACGTCACGTTTCTTCTCTATGACGTTGCGTTCTACATGCGGCGACAGCGGGTAGCCAGCCTATGTTTGAAAGTAGACTTGGGTTTATTTTCCGCAATTTGATGACTTCGGTAATAAACAGAATATTATATTCGTGCCCATATCACACTATGTTTACGACACTTGTGTCAAAATATCAGTATATGCCTCACTCTCACTCAGGAAATACCAACATATAGGCACTTGTGTCGTAAACATAGTATGACAAGGGCACATATAGTGAGTGCTTGAAGTGAGTCTTAACTTTTGATGGGTTGTATATAACCAGCCAGGTAAACATGAGACTGACAGCAGCAGCAGCAGCACCGACCATCAACATGGACAAGCAGGATACAGAATCCCCACTGCTTCTTACATCAAGCATGAGTGAGTAAGTATGGTTTTATGCCGCACTATTCCAGCAATATCTTGGCAGGGACATTTGAAATGGGCTTCCCACGTCATACTCGTGGAGAATCAACCCCGGGTCTTCGGTGTTACAAGTGAAAGTTTTAACCACTAGGCTACCCCACTGCCCCACATCATGCATGAATACTGAGAACTAGTCTGTCTCACAGTCCCTGAACCGAATTAATTTCCCTACTGCCAAGCCCTCTCTGCAGTGCTAAAGCCCTAAATAAAGCAAGTCTAGATTTCCTCAGGTTCTGAATCTCTGGTCTCCCTAGGGCTCCTTTTCAATATAAATGGGCTTGTTTGTTACTATCAAAATTATATATATTCAGAGACTAAGCCTTAGTCTAACTGAGAACCTATTCCAACTGATTCTAACAGGTGCCAGGCAAATAGCAACAATGATGGATGTTGCCCAATAGCAAAATCTCTGCATGCCTAAAACCAGCTAACTTCATGATGAATCAGCTATCTAAATTCAAACAATCACATCCCGCTTAAAGGTTCAACCTATTCCATCAACCTTACAAACACAACATCTGTCCAACTACCAAAAATCCCAAATCTAGAACGACAATCTTTCTAATCAGCAATGCTGGACCAATATAGCCTAGCCAATCAGATGAGTAGCACAGATATGAAAATGCATGGCTTCTGACGGGATGTAGGGTATGTCATAACTTCAGAATGGCTTTCATTGTGCCAATAAAGGAACTGTTTTGGTAGGGTTCACCAGGGCACTATGTTCGTGCTGATTTTGCGTCTGCAGGATCATCGGTATTGATCAGAATGTGGAAATGAAGATATCAGAGATGAGGTGGAAGCAGGCCAACATCTAGATGATGTTTGCTCATCGTGAGATAACAAGGTAACGTTGCAAGGACCTGAAGCCCAATCTATATATAGATCTGCAGTTCCACTCACCACACTACATGGACAACATACTGACTCCAGAGTTAGAACAGCCCTTCTGTCCTATAGTCACGGAAGGATTTCATACAGCATTTCACAAATGTCCTTGTATGATAGGGTGAATCATGAGTTCAAAAGCGTATTCTGGAGCTTTTCAGCAAACATTGTTTTGGAGCCATTTTGATAATATTTACATACTACAGCCGTCAGAAGAAAGTTAAGGACCTCACAATTTTTTCATATTACTGGAGTGAATCATTCATGTTATTATTGCATCTTGTTGAATGATGCACTTAGCAATATTGATGGCATCCTGTCAAGAATCAAGTTTGGACCAGACAAACCAATGATTGATATTATGGCAATGTCACACACTGTCAGAGTATGCAATGAACCAAGCTGTCATGTTGCCTGATCCATTAAGCTGCTTCTTCCTACCAGAATAAATGGCCCTATTCTAACCCAGAACCCTAACAGGGAAAACTGAAGTAATGACTTTAAAAAACTACAAAACATTGAAAATGTTCTCAAATTTAAACATTTGTTACGAAAAGATCTAACATTATTATGCTTACAATATCATTCGTTCAACATTCTGAAAAACGCACATTTTTCTCAGAGTACCTATTGTACTGCATGATAAATCAATTGATGTATAGAAATTCTACCCTTACAACAGGCAAGTATAGCAAAGGGTACAGTATACAGGTCTTTTATAGGGACAACTTGTTCTGATTATTTCTAAAATACAGGAAATATGACAAAATCATTTTCCAAGAGACATGTCCTCATCTAACTAACTGCTGGATATTTCAATTTGTCAATATGTATCCATTAGATTATTGATATTACAATGTGGAGGTTCATACAGTATGTGAAATCATCCTGAACATTTATTGTGCTTGTTGGATGTGCGACCATGTGTGTCAATAGTCTTGTACCCAAAGGACCCCTCATTATAAAGCAATTTACTGTCCAGCATTCTACCAACATGCTTGGGGATGTGAAAAGTGAAAGTGATCCACTTCTCAAGGCTGTGTTCTAATTCTGTATTTTAGCTTTTGTACTGAAATGTAGCAATCACTCTTAACCCTAACAAAGGCAATTCCTTATTATAACAACAGGGCATAATCTTTTCTAAGAGTGCTATTTCAAGGTGACGCATAAAAGTCTTTCATTTCACCAAATATGTACAAACTGTGAATTTAAATTTGTGCAAGCAAGTGAATCAATAAGAGTTTGAAACCTGGTGAAAGTATTTCCCTCTCTATAACACAAATAACCAATCCCTTATCACACAAATGTTCCTGAGAGAGATTTTGTTTCATTTTTCAAGACATGTGCAAATTGTTACACCAAACATGCCATAGCATGCAATCAGTACAGTAGACAGTGGGGGAGACTTGCGCTATAATGAGGTAACAAGGTGTAAGGCTGAAACAGGATGTGACATTTGTAGCCAGGAGACATTTACTAGCTGTAAAGATAGAGACACGGGTCATTGACTTCACGTCTGGATCAAGGAGACAAGAAAACAGCTTTTCCTCAACACTTCTCTGTAATACATTAAAGTCTGTTCAATCCACTTGACTTGATTCATGTGCCAGCTAGCGTCAACTAGCTTGTTAACCGTAAAAACGATAAACGATTAACACTGGGCTCCAATTCATATTCATTACATGTTAACCATCTTAACATAATTCAATGAAATAAAATTTCATAATGACAAAATAATGAATGTCTGTTTTTCTGTTATGTGCCCATTCTGCAGTTGGCATCATACATCCTGTTCTACCTGTGTACCATTAGCATCTAAATGTTCCTATTAACAGTACCTGAACCACATGAATCTACATTCATTACCCAGGGTTTTACCTTGACTTGCAAACATGGGGGTCCCAGGAACCCCTAATTATTAGTTTTAAGGGTCCTTGCTGGCAATACAAGGGTCCTGTGAAGTAATAGTTTAGAGAACTGTATGTTTTGATAATTTCTTTAGAGCCAGGAATGAATCATTGATCATGTGGACTGATGGGTGGAATGATGCAAGTAACTGCTCTGAAAGAAACACCCAAACACTTAGCTAAGTCATATATATGTTGTGGGTACAATGAATAATATTGTGCATCCCTTTGGACGTAGTGATTTTTTTTTCTGCGTCCATTCTCTACATTTGTGTGTACTGGATGTAAATTTGCGTGTCGCGTAAACCCCTGATTGCCCATCATGCATCTGTTAAGATGGCCACTAAACTGCATCCAGAACCATAGTAAGACTTACGTAAAGACATAAATAAGGCTTAAGGGGTCAGTGTTGGCACAGGTACTACAAACAATGTACCCAAGATATGTTTCTGTATACAGAACCAAAAATGAAGCCAGTTCACGTTAAAGTATCTTTCACCTGATTACGAGTGATACTGTGCATTGTGAATTTTTCATCACTGTGTGTATCGCATTTCTTATATAACACAATGGAATGCATCTCATACAACAGTATGACAGTTCCTATCAAGAGCACTGTGTTGGATGGACTCATCGTAGAGTATATTTCTGTATTCTGATTTTGGCCAGGGTACGTACCTGGGGTATTCATCTGTGGTACCTGTGCCTAATAGACGGTAAAACCCCTTCAGCGTAAATAAGCATGTACTATAGAACAATTCTAAGATAATATGTCGGTACATTAAAGGTCAACATCTGAAGTTAAAATAATCTCCACTAAAGTACACTGTGAAAACTTCTTCAAGGGGATTATAAGAGTACACTATGGTATTGAAAGAGTATGACCTTTAGATATTATTGATTTGACAGCTATAAATATCTCATTCACTGCACAGAAAAAATAT